ATCTGACTCAAATGATGAGTCAGACAGCACCAAGGTAGGAGGCTAGTGAAAAAAAAGTGCATTTGGAAGAAAGCATGAAGAAAATGAAAAAATTCTGTCTTCAAGGGCATCGCTTGAAAATAGCAACAAAATTATGTTAAAATACTTCAAAATCTTCCTAAAGCAAGTAATTTCTTACATCAGTTAACAGTGTTTAGCTGTTTAACCTTCTTGCACTAAAAACAGAGGTGAGACTTTCAAGTCTTTGAAGAACAACTATAGTGCTTTACATATCAATCAGACAATTAGGCCTGTGATGACTACATGAGCACTGCAGCATTTCTTATATTTTTTTGGAAAATTTTACAGCTGAGCCCACCATAAAGACAGCTAAATGATGACTAAATGAGGTTCCTGTTCTCTACTAGAAACATGATTACTTCTAATACTGTATCTTGCACCCTTGAACCTAAACCAGAGCTTCGAGAAAAATATGTATTAAACAGGTACATTTAATAAAGGAGGGTATGAAGTATGCTGTAGGTATGAATACTACCTGGCATGAGGTAATATGGAGTGCTAAGCCTGTGTGCAGCCTTACTTGCCAGAAGACACAGACATGCAAACAGTCCTCATTCCCAAAACAGTCTCATAGTGATGGGAGAGATGGATGGACTGTACATTCCTAGACATTTATCCTTTCTGCTTTGGAACCTTGTACTACTGCAGGTCATTTGTTGCAACTCTTGTCATGACATAAACATTCATAGTAATTGCTCAAAAGGAAGTCAACTTAAACAAATCCCATAACGCAGAAATATAACCATTCAAGCTGTCACTTGCTTAACTGCATATTCCAAATCTAGCCCTCCTGTTAAAGGAATCTGGAAATATTTGAAAGGAAAAGCCCCAGCACAGGGAGTTTCTTAGGGTTCTAAAAGAAACCTGAAAGCAAGAATGAGGCTTGCACATGTACACTCATGAAGTATTACCACAAAAACAGATCCAACAGCCAAAAAGCCAACTGTTACCTAAGCAACCACCTCCACTTGACTGTAAAAGGGAGAAAAAAAAACCAAACTAAAAAAAGAGTAAAAAAACCAACAAGGGCACCGTTGAACACAGCACTAGCAGAAGACACTTAGAACATACAGCACAGCAGTTACCATCAGTTTCTGGGGTTTTTTGCCTGCATTCACCACATAGCCACTTAGTGGATATTACTGCAGGAAACAAATTTATGAGAAAGAGCATCTGACTCTCACTTTAACAGAATCAACCTGGAAAGCTTGAATGCTTGCTAACTTCTCAGGCCATGAATAACAGTAAAATACAGAGATTAGAAACAGTTAGAGCAAGGGTACGGTTTTTTTACCTTTCCCTTCTTTTCCATAAGCAAGGGCTGGTGGAATAGTTAGCTTCCGTTTCTCTCCCACACACATGTCCTTCAACCCTCTGTCCCAGCCTTTGAGAGCTTCCCTTATGCCAAGTGTAAACCACATAGGCTGACCATTGTTATGCTTGTGACTGGAAAAGAAAGGAATAAAACACTTGGCATTTAAACCTCAAGTTCCACAAAAGGCAAATAGAATATGCTCATAATGTAGATATACAGTTAAAAACAGAGCACTATTCAGCACCTTGACAAATGAGCACTTTCAAAGTCTTTAAAATTTATGCTTTGCATGACAAGGTTCCTTGGGAAGTGGAAAGAAATAAACCAACATTTATCTGGTGTGTTTATGACAACACTAACCAGTCCAGATCTCCACCTTCACCTCCCTCATCACCTATTTCCACTTGGAAATTGATCAGACTAGAAGGGCATTTTTCTTACAAATCTACAGTCAAGGCCATCGTAAATTGCAAATCACAGACCAGCATGGTCATGATAGGAATACACATTTTAATATGCTTAGAAGAATCAGCCTCATCTCTTTCAAGAAGCCACTGGGAGGGAAAAAAACAAATAACAAAACAACTACATAACAGTCTAGAAAAAAACAAATGCACGCAAAACATTGAACTTTAGTTTTGGGAGACAAGATCCTTTTCTGATTTGACCACTTTCACTCTACTAACAGACAAGGAATTTGAAAGCTCTATTTACTAGTCATGCAAGAAAGGTGTTTAAGAAGAAAATAGAACACTTACAGAAGTTAGTCAGCAACAAAAACTTTAGTGTGTCACTAGAAGTCCTTTTAAAGAGGCAGGTTAACTACAAGAGAAAATTAGTGAGATTTTAGTTGAATCGTCTGCAAAAGCATAAACATGCAAAACTGTCTTTTTTGTTTAATATACAAAAAGTAGCCTTCAGGCAGCCTGCAGAGACTTGAGTATTTTGCTGTCTCCCACTATTAACACTTCGCTGATGTTTTACAGGACATTTAGCATTAGCAAGTCATTGCAGGCTCTTAGCAGAGTCCCTCGAATTTCTGGCTCTTCCTCCTATTTGCATTTCTGTGGCTCTGGTATGTTGACTTGTCTGGTCGGGGCCAGGTAAAGAATAATGAAAAGCTGTGATTGTGGTGCCACTAGTGGAAGGATACATAAAACTTTTTTATTTTTTAAATTAATACTTCGCTTTAGAAACCAAACAGAAATTCATGCGTAGCACAAGACTTACTAAACCGCTGAGATCATATACCAAAACCTGCACCTAAATGACAGAATCATACAACGGTTTGGATTAAAAGAGACCTTTAAGATCACCCAGTTCCAACTCCTCTGTGCCATGGGCTGGGACATAGACTAGAACGGGTTCTCAGAGCCCCATCCAAGCTGGCCTTGAACACCTCCAGGAACGGGTTGTCAACAACTTCTCAGGGCAACCTGCTCCAGTGTCTCACCATCCTCCGAGTAAAAAATTTCTTTCTAATAACCTAATCTACACTCTTTAAGTTGAAGCCATTCCCCCTTGATCTGTCACTACACGCCCTTGCAAAAAGTCTCTCTCCATCTCTCTTCACGTAGTGGAAAGCCACAATTAGGTCACCTCAAAGCCTTCTCTTTTCCAGGCTAATCAGTGCCAGTTTTCTCAGCCTTTCCACACAGGAGAGGTGCTCCATGCATAACATCTTTTAAGAAATGCCACATGGCTCTACTTCCTACAGACTGACCAGAAAACAAATGCTAAAAAGGAGATGAGCCTTACTCCTGGTGATCATCTTGAACAGCATTGTGAGATACTGCTTCACACCAAACTTTCTGAGAACAGGTGGCAGTGGGAGGGGCCCCAGTGACAAGTTTATTCGGTGTTATTTAAGCTCTTTTATCCCAAAACAAATAAATCATTCATGCTTTTGTTTCCTTGCACATAAGTAAATGCTAGTTTTGGGCTTTTGGGGAGGGAGGAGTCAAAAAACCTAACAAAAAACCGCTTGCCCCTTACAAAATGCTCTTCACAGAGCTATTTGCAGGCAGATTGCAGACACCTGTGAGAGGTCAGGATTCAGGAAAGCACGACCAGAAGAGACCATCTATAAATAATAGATATACCTTAAAATATACACACACATGAAGGAGCGAGCACCAAGATTGCTAGAGGGATGGAGCAGCACCTCTCCTACAATGAAAGGCTGAGAGAAATGGGATTGTTCAGCCTGGTAAAGAGAAAGCTGCAGGGTGACTTAATTTTATCTTTCCAGTACCTCAAGGGAGCCTACAAGAAAGATGGAGAGAGACAATTTAAAAGGGCGTGCAGCGACAGGACAAGGGGTGATGGCTCTAAACTGGGGCTCAGATTAGATATTGGAAAGAAATTCTTTACTGTGAGGGTGGTAAGCCACTGGAACAGGCTGCCCAGGCAAGCTGCTGACCACCCATTCCTGGAGATGTTCAAGGCCGGGCTGGATGGGGCTCTGAGCAACCTGGGCAGCGTTCAAAGGTGCGTCGGATGGGGTTGCTCTGAGCAACTTCATCTAGCGGAAGGGCCAATGAATCTTTAAGATCACTTCTAGCTCAAGCCATTCTATGATTCTATTACATATATATATGTATGTATATACATATATATACACACACACACACACACACATATATATGTATATTTCCCCACGCAAGCTCAACCAGCAGCTGGCTCGGAGAAGACGCGCCGCTCACTTACGTCGAGTGAAACATGGAGCCATCCCTCTCCAAGTAGCCCTCGTAGTGAACCAGCATCATGTCCCCCCACTTGGTCTTTCTGTGGCAGAGGAAAGGCTTGTGCAGCACCTCCACCTTCACGTCGGGAGCGGGGGGGATCAGCGCCGCGCCCGCGCAGCTCAGCGCCGCGCACAGCAGGGCGGAGCACAGCAGCAGCGCCGCCGCCATCGCCCCCGCCATCGCTCCTGCCCCGCTCCTCTCACCGTGCCGCCATCCCGCGCCCCGAGCCCTGCCGGTCCTTCCAACGTGGCAGCGGCGCTCACCGCTCCCAGCCCCCGGCTCCCTACGGCCCGGCACCGGCGGCGCGCGCTCTGATTGGCTCCCCGCAAGGCCAGCTCAGGAGGAGCTGTCGCCCATTGGGACACATCCCTGTCCGTCACTCAGACCACCCAATCGGCAGGCCCGAACAGCCGGGAGTGGGCGGGCCGGGCGCTCCGGGAAGTCACAGCTCCGGCGAGCGGGGCAGCCCCGGGGAGCGCGCGCACAATAGAGCAGGCTGCTGCCGGCCCTTGATTGGGCGGCAGTGGCAGCGAGGGCGCGTTCTGATTGGCCGCGAGAGGCCACCTGCTCTGGGCATTCCGCTCCTGGCCCCCCCCCTACCCGCCCGCCTCTCCTTCCCGCTGGTCACGCGGGCCGCGATTCACAGCGCGGGTTGCGCTGACGTAGCGCTGCGGGGCCGTGCCGCGGCTGGGCGGATGCGGCGCTCCCTGCGCTGGGAGCGTGGCGGCGGCGACGGCGGGGGGCGGGCGCGGCGCGGGCAGGGCGGGGCGCGAGCCCCCCCGCGATGGCGCTGTGTGGCGGCAGCGCGGCGGAGCGCGGCCGGTGGCGGGCGGCGTGACCCCGCCGCGGGGCGGCCGCGCTGTATGGGGCCGGAGACCGGCCGGCATGGAGGGGGTCCTGTACAAGTGGACCAACTACCTGAGCGGTGAGTTCCTGCCAGTGCTCAGCCTTTGCGGGACGGGCGCCGTCATCTTCTCGTATGTGTATTTATGCAAGTACATAAGTGTATTATGTTCGGTGTATTTGCTGTGTGCGGGTCAGTGCTCCTCCTTGACCCCTCCATCCCGGGGAGCAGCCCCAGCTCTGCCTTATTGTCACTGCCCGGTGTTTAACCCGGTGCCGGTGCCTGTCCGGGCGCCTCTCGCCCTCCCCGCGGTCCTGGGTTGGGGTTTGGGGTAGTTTGGGTGCTCTGGGTCACAGTTCGAACAGCGAACTTCCCCGTTCTCCACACACCCCCGTGGAACTTCTCTTGGGGCGAGTCGGGGATTCCGGGCATTCCCAGAGCTGGGAGGAAAAGGTGTTGCCGTGTCAGTCCCACCTGGGGGATTCGGATGAGAAGGCATTGCAGGGGGAAAAAAAAAAAAAAAAGAAAAAAGACAAGAAAAAAGGTGGAGGGGATTGTCCTGCTAGCTCTAGGCCCAAACTTTAATTTTTCGGGTGTTCCCGTGCCACGGAAGGCTTGATTTTCATGGCAGATTGGAAGCAGCCGTGTGTGGCCAGAGTTTGCTCTGCAGAGGTTAAAGGTGCTGGGGTCAGAAGCCCCCTGTGTTCCCAGGGGATGTCCACTGCCGGACTCCTTCGAGCCAGGTGAGGCAGAGGCGTGTGATTTGGGGTTGTGGATGGGGTCTTACCGGGTGCAAACCTCTCCGTGGTTTGTTGGAACAGTTTGGAAACTTGAAGGTCGGAGGAAAGTAACCGCGACCACCTTGACATTGCCAGGTGCGAGGCGAGTGTTGCTCAGTAGTGTATGTTACAAGGGCTGCCGCCTTGCTTGAATTTTTTCCCGAGAGGTTGGAACAGCTGCACCTCTCTTGTTAGCTGGGAAACTGTAGGAAATCAAAATTAAACAAAGAGAAAGCTGAAGCACAAGCGAGTGTTGAATTTATATGGTAGGGATGGCGGGGGGCAGGAGTGGTGCATAACACTTGATTTATTGCTGTGCTAGAAGATTGCTGTGACTTTTCCCCTTTAGGCATGAGGTGTTCTGAGATGAGAATCAAAATTTGTCAGGTCTCAGTGAACAGACATGGATTTTTTTGTTCTTGTTGTTAATTATTTGTGAATGCTCTTGAATTATGAAGTGGAAGTAGGAGCAGCCACGCTTGCTCTTTTCATTTGAATTGCAGGACTGTGATAGTGGTATTAGTCCTTTCTCCACACTAAAAACACGTTTGGTCTAGTTGATTGAAAGTTTTACATGTTTTTCTTTGCATTGCTGAGATGCTGGGGTGTGTCTGGAATCCTTGTGCTTGGTTTTGTGCCATGAGACCTGGGAATGTGTGTCTGTGGGAAACAATGCATGTTGTAGATAATTTACTGGCGTTTGACATTTTAGTGCCTGCAGTAGGATCAGCTGGTTTTCTGTTTTCATGGTAAGATGAAGACTAAGAAGTATTCTGTTTTCATCACAATTAAGTTTTCTTTTGTTAGCCACAGTGATAAGCACTTCCAATCAAATGACCCTTCAAGAAGAAGGATGATGCTTTGCAAACCTTAGTCTTAAGTGAATGCAGACTGAAGGAAGCTTTTCCTTGCATATATAAGATTTGTACTGGCTGAAAACTGGAAGAGGTTTTGCTGTCAACAGAGACAAAATCTGTGATGAAAGATTGAAGCATCCTTCTGATTTCTTGGTTGAAACTTGACTCTTCTAGTGAGTGATCAAGGTCACTCTATGCCTTTTCTTAGGTTGTAGAAGGCCCATGGTGTGTTTGAGAACAGTAAATTTGCTGCTCTGCAAGCTGTCTGTATATACTAGTGCTTTCTATTGCTGTAAAATGAAGACTTCCTGCCCTAAAGCCATTAAGTTATAAGTTTATGCAGAGATGGGAAAAAAAAAAATTCATTCTGGAATGTGGTGTTAATTGTATCAGTAACAAAGAGCTGGAATGAGAGACAGGAAAGCCTCCTTTCAGGGATTAAGGGAAGTAAGAATGTTCAACAGGTCATCCAGAACAGTATTTCTGCTAGTATTCTGCCCCCAGTATGCTTTTTCTGTTGTTCAAGGTTGATGAATCAGGTGCTGTATAGTGTAAATGATGCAAGCAAAAAGTAGGGAGATGGTGTGTCATCTCTCTGTGTTCGCCTGTGCTAGTAACATGGTGGTGATGTGCCTCGGAGTGAGGACCCCTCACAGTCAGAGAAGGGATAGGACATTCAAAAAAGAGTAAGCATGAAACTGTAGAAAAGAACTGCTTTTCCTTCTTTCTGTGAGGGAGGAGCTGATGGGAATTTGTTGGTACTTGTGTCTTTTCTGGGACTTTTGATTTTGTAATGTCTATGTCATTGCCGTTATGAGAGGTCAAGTCCACATCTAACCCATTTCCTCCCAGCTCTTGGGCTGGGAGCTAGATCTGTGTTACAAATTACATAGTTACTGACAGCAAGAACGTTTCAGAAATAGGAAACAAGTTTGGTTTTCTGTGGGCAAAGGGCAAAGAAAGCACACCATGATTGCCACCAATTGAAAGACAGATCAGTTTGCCTTACTGCTTAAACAAGTTATCTTGTTTGTAATAAATGCACTTGTTTGCTTTATACAGATTAGAATAAATCAAATCAGTATTACCTGGTTTCTGCTTGGAGTAAGAGTTTTTCCTCTGGTGTTGATCCTGCACTCACATTGTGGTTTCTATATGTAGGGTTCCAGTGCTACCTCAGAAATCTCTTGAGTTTAGAAAGCTGAGATTTTTAGAGATTTTTCTGTTCCCTAATGCAATGGCCACCAGATAGTGATTTCTCAGTGTGTTACTTTTGTTTAGGTTCAAGTGAAGTGTTCCAGCTTTGGATCAGATACACATTCACAAAGTTCTAGCCTATGATAACACGTTGGGATCTTGTGCTTGCACTGTGTGTCCTTTGATTGCGTTTTTCTATGCTGTCTCCACTAAATCGGTTAAAACCTTAAGAGAGCAGGGAACTTTGCAAGCAGTTATCGTCATACAAAGTGAGACAGCACTTTTTCTTTTGGGCAAATATATAATACATCTGCAAACCTCAAATTATTAATCCTCAAAATCTGGAGCAGGGTGACTTAAATCATGCAGGCATGTAAGTTGGCCTCAGCTGAGCTTATAGTCAAAGCATGTAACATGATCTTAAAAAATTCCTAGATTTCATCCTTTGCCAAAAGTCTCTATCTGATGTTAGCTTTGTTTGATGGGGGCTGGGGATGGGTGTGTAACTATTGTTTCACTGCCACTTACTGTAGTGAGCAGCTGGAATGATGAAAGTGTGCCTTCCCTATAGCTCCTTGGTCTGCACTGCCTGCAGTCCTGGCTGAGCACAAACCATTCTGCTGTGGGCAGCATCAAAGGCAGATCCTGGCTGCACTGCCATAGCGTGACTGATCTCCAGCTGGGGAGCGCTGCTTGCAGGATAGAGAAAGGACAGAGCGGAGCTGAACTGGACGTGAAGATTACTCTTTGCTGCTTGGAAACTGCGTCCCCTGGGACTCTCTGACTGAACTTAACCTGCATTGCATGCTCTTTATTGAGCGTAACTTCTGATTAATAAAATAAATTTATTTAGTCTTTGGAGTTTGCCTTGTAAAAGGCATCTATGTTTTTTTTTCTCATCTCATTTATAGAATGAGTAAGCTGGGAAACAGCATGGAGTTGAGGAATACCTCCCTTCAGTGGTGTGTGTGAGGGCTTGGCACTTTCAAGTTGATTTTTTTCTTTCTGCTGAAATTCAGTTCAGATCTTCAATGTAGGCACACATCCTACCTGGGATTGCTGGCCACAGGCAGGATTGATGATAACTGTGGAAGAGACAGTATGGATCAGCTCTTGGCTGTGGGGTTCAAAGGCAGCTTCATCATTAGATGAAAAAGGATGACTGCTTCCACTGGCTTGTCTGGTATTTGTTACATGCTCCATGAAATGGCTTTGATCACTTTCCTTTACAAAGCTAAGCTTTTGCTGATATTTAAATATTCACTTCCTTATTTCTGCTGAGTAATTCAAACCCTCAGTATTTCATCTTCCTCAAGGCACGATATACTCAGTTTCATGCCATCACCTGTGACGCTGCATCATGCCACATACTTCAATTAGCTCTCCCCATCTACCTGTATGTAATCATCCCCTCTCAGTTTATTGTTGTACTTTGGATTCTTTTCAGTTTATCCTGAGATACCAAGAGCTAGCACCAAGCAGTACATTTCAGCTTTCACATAAAACTTTAAATTACTCTTGTCTCTAATGATTCAGAATTCCTTAATAAACTTAGGGGTAGAGATCAAAAAAATGTGAAAAAGCATTAATTCTTGTATCTTGGATCTGGATGCATATGATATTGCTTAGAGCAAGTCTTTGTTTTAGGAGTTTAAGAAATCTGACCTTTAAGGATCAGAGACACATATCCTTCCAGCAGGAAATAAGCTCCCCTGTTTCCAGACATGGAGGAATTAATGGAAAACTTCACACTTAGATAAAGATTTGGTTCTAAAAAGACTTTTATAATTTTCCCCTTCATTTTAGCCTCTGGATATACTCCAAGATATGATTGTATAAAATTAGAAGTCTGGCTTTTGTGGAGGTGGACCTAGACAGCTGAGGTTTCTGTTGCCTTCAGGGCAATGGTCTGCCTTCTATTACTGGCTGTAGCTGCTCTCAGGATCCAGGTGTTGGTTTAGATTAATGCCTGACTCCCAGCCAGTTCTGGCTGGATGAGACTTTTCATGCAGGATACTTCAGGGACTGATTAGTTAATTCTCTTTGGATTTTGCTTAATTGTCTTTCTGTGATTTGACCTTCTTTCTCATTATTTGCTTCCCTTTCCCTCTGTATTTCTTCATGCAGCAATCTTACTTTTGTCCAACCTTTTTGGAATTGTGCAATGTACTCTCAGTAGAAAGGTTTGATGAGGCTGCAGGAATGGAAATCGGTGTCCCTTCTCTCCTCTGGAAGTGTTAGAGCACTGCTGCAGAGCCTCCATGGTGCGGCATTCCCTGCCAGGTATGCTGCAGTACCAGTGCCTCTGCATTCAGTCCCTCTGCACTGAAGTAAGTGATCACAGGGTAGGACTGAAGCCAAAGGTGTGGTAGACTGATGGTGAAGAGATACCATCATGTGGTATCTGTATGTGCTTACATAAATTCAGTCTGTTGACTTAGTCTGGCATGATAACCACCCCAGGGGTCAGAGAGAGGAGCAGCTTGTTTGCTGGGGCTGAGAAGTATAAATAGAGGAGGAAAACTCCCAGAGCTTTTTATGATTTGAATTAGTGTGTCTGAGCAGTGGGCCTGTATTATTGAACTTCTGCCTCCACCATGATCCCCTCTCTGCCCTTCATCCTTTCACTGCATCCCCTTAAAAAATACCTGATGCTGGTACATTGTGCTCTGTGCCTTGGCTGGTCTCTGCCATAAAATCATTTGCAAACAAGCCCAATTGCCCTGTGATGACAGGATGCTCTTTCAATGCTGCTAACATTGCCCTAACACTAGTGATTGAAACAGAAGTGGGCTTTATGGACCCCCTGTGAAAAAAATCGTTTAGGAGAAGGTCACTGTGTTAAAGCCCATTCCAGCTATTGCTACCTTCACTTGAACCTCTAGTGTCCCTCAAACTAATGCTTTAAAAAGTGATACCATTGTTAAAGTGCTAAATCTTTGAACTTTGTTACCTTTAGGGGCTTTTTTGTATTGATTCCTGTTGTTAATATTCACATAATCAGAGTGAAATTGCAATATGGGCATTTCCAGAAGCTGCTCTCTAGGTGACAGGATAGTAGCTCAGAAAAGAGGTGTAGATTGTCACACGCTCTTGTCTGCCTTTCTGCTATCCCTTACGGATACAGGGGAATTTTAAACTGTATTTTTATCCAGTCAGATAGTTTTGCTACAGAATTAAGGCTGCAAAATGCATTCTAGCACCTGGGATTGCCCTTTGCAAAATACTGGGTAGCCTTAGAAGGCTGTCTAGAAAAATAGACACCTGTTTTGAGTGCAAAATGCTTGTGCCATCTTTTACTTCTGTTCCTTGAATGAGAAAAAAGGGGGAATGTTTCAAGTTTGATCTGTGTAAGATACTTTCTTGCAAATTGCTATTTCTGACTAGGAACCTGGTTGACTGACAAGCGCCTTTGCCCTGCTAGAGCTGAGTTTTCAGCAGTTCTTGTCCAGCTATCAGTTGCTGACACAGCAGTGGGCAGACAATGTGGTGCTTTTGCCCTTGGAGTGAGCTTACATGGCGCAGTTTACCTTTGCTCAAGGTAGGATGAAATGATGGATATTGGTCATTCTCACTGTGAGGTGGCTCTGTCAGGGCACCCACTCTGGGACTTTTTTGTGACCCTGCACAGAAAAACAGGGATCTGTTCTGCTGTGCCACCTGCAACTAAGTCTTGGATCTTGTCCTTCTTATAAGCAGTAGGGAGGGTTACAGTGGCTTTAACTCTTCCTATGAGACAGATGTTGTAACATGGAAAGTTCATAATTATCTCCTATCTGCACCTAAACTCTGGATTAGGGGCAAAGAAGTCCAAGGACTTTTTTTGCAAAAGTTTTACAAAAACTTTTTCTGAAGCTCAAGAAATTAATAAGCCTAAGATATTACATAATTCTCATGGAAAGCAAGCAATAATAGAAACCTGGGTGTCTGGCCTTTATGCATTTTAGAAATGCAGATGGAACTGGTGTCTTAATTGCCGCTTGTTTTCCAGGTCATCAGTTTGACTTCTTGAGTATGTAATTCTCCCTGATGGCTTGGCTTTGTAGATGTCTGACATGATCTACATGTCTTCAAATGTTTGGTTGTTTGTTTTTTTTTTAATTCAGGCTTGGCACTTTGGAAGGAATACTGTCTGGAATCTGAGTTGTATAACATCAAATTTTGAATTATGTCCAAGTTTCAGCTGTGTTATCAAGAAATGTCAAGTTTGCTCAGTGATAGCTACATCCAGATTTCCTGAAGTGTAATGGTGGAAATAGGCAGATCTTTCTTTCTTTGGAAACTTCTTGAGAAGTAATGAATCCTTAGCAGGCACAGACTGCTTAAATATCTGGTTTTCTAGTGGATAATATCAGATCTTCCAGGTATAACAGGCACTAACTATAACTTTCACACAGGAGTGCAATATGTACTTTAACCAGTGCCTGTGAAGTCGTCTGGAATATCTTCACTCTCTTCTATGGCTGAGACCTTAAGCTGCTCCTCACTTTTTATTGTGCTTTGTGCTTTACTGGGGATTTTTTGTACATACCTTTCCCACCAAGGTCAATTTTTACTGTTAATGGTACTGTGCCTCTAAAACGAGATGTTGGAAGTACAAGCTGTATTTTTTCCTGCCTGTGCACCACCAGTATAATGGACTTAAATTCTTCTTCAAAGTTGTATTAATGCTAGCACCAGTAAGACCTTAAAAGGTTCAGCTTTATCTTTCCATATCAGGTGAAATCTGAATGCTCAGTTCCAAAAATTGCAATATTCCTGTGTCAGTTCATGGGAGGAAAATAACACTGAATAAACCCAAGACTTGCTTTCTTGGAAGTGCCTAAGTATCTTTTTTGCTGCTTTGGTTTTTGTTTTGTTTTTTCTTTCCTCCATTCTTCACTTGTCTGCAAAAGTGAAGCTCCCGTAATTAAAGACTGTATCCCTGTGCAGTGCCCATGGTTTGACAGCCACATGCTATTTTTAGCTGGTTGTTTAGGATAACCTTCCCATGGCTGCTGACTCAGTGGCAGTGAGTACCAGCTGGTTAGTGCATCTTCTGACAGAACCTTGCTGTGAGTATTTTTTTTTAATTGTTTTCCTTTCACAAAAATGTGTTTTTATTAGTGTAAGAATTCCGTTGTGTAAATATATATTGTCCTAGGTAAAAATTGTCTATTACAGTCTTTTTACTATGTATCTAATAATTAAAGAAGAGTTTGCTTCTGGAAAGGAATACAGATAGCTGCTCTGTTCCCCACAAAAAAAAACCCCAAGACCCAGAACCAAAAAACCAACCAAATGAAAGTCTCAAAAAATACATTGATTCATAACATATTTTTAACCGGCCTCCAAAGTGATGGAGGCAGAGTGATTTGTATGTTGGCTAATTGATTGCACAGCCTTTGATTGATGGAATGCAATTTGGTTGAGCATCAGCTGCAATTGTAAGTTGTAGGACCATGGCTGAAATGATTCATGCGCAGCAGCAGGAGCTCCGGACTGAATTAGAGGCTTGTATTGACTGTGGCGCTGTGCATTATTTAAAGACTTGGTTCTGTGCCATTGAGTGTCTGAAGCAATTAACTGCTTCTCTCTGCTGAACAATCACTTCCTTTTTTTGTGAGTTCCTACATATCAATAGTGACTTTTAAGATAGTTTCTTTATTTTGGAGGCAAGACAAATAGAAACCAGTCTTGCTGATTTATTTTTTTTTAATTCTCATTCTTGTGGTTTTTCTCCCCCTTCATATAAAGTAAAGAAGTGTTGAGAGTACTTTGGATTTTCAATATTTTTGTATTCTTATAGGAAATAATGGAAGAGATCTGGAAGGGAATGAAATAATATTTATGTTTAATTTGTTTTCCGGCCACCACACAGGGTTCAGCAATCTATAAACTGGGTTGGACTGAATGCAGTGGTATTGATTGGAAAAAAAAAAAAGGGGGGGGGCAAGCCAGACCATACTCCTGCTGTTAGCCTGAGGCTTTAGGCCTTTCCAGTCTAAAACTGTGTTGAGCTTGGTTTCAGCAGTAGTCTAAGGAACCAGTTTCTAGCTGGAGAGGAGCTGTCATTCCTCCAAAGTCGTATCAGTCCAAGCCCAGCCTGGGTTCCTGCAGCACAGTGCTGGTTGGCAGAGCCCTGGTGCAGGGGACAGCAGATTTGAGGACCCTCTGCCAAAATATCTAAGAGCCATGTGGCCCCCATGGTCTTGTCCAAGTGTTCCTTCCAAAGAAGGTTTGCTGGCACAGTGTGGGAGTGTCAGAATCTCTGTCCATTGGATCTGGCCAGCGAAGCTTGTTGTAGCTCAGTAATGAAAGCTGCTTTCCTCCAGTGACGTTGCTGCCTCATTTCTTCTTAGGTTAATGAGCTTGTAGTTTTTAATCAGACATAAATGGCGGCTGTCAGGTCACGTTTGGTTTTATCTTTTCATACTGCTGGTGTGCTTCCAAAAGTAGAAAAAAAGGATAATTTACTTCTAAAGTTGGGCAGCAGGGTGGGCAAAAATGTATACCCAGAACTACTGGTGTGGGTCCAGCTTTGTGTTTTGGTTTTCCTCTGGGAAGGCATCCAGAAGTACAGGTCGGTAATTCAAGACTGTTTTATGTGGGCAGCACAAGAAGTTTCAAGAGCTGTTGAAAACTGCTTGACTGAAAGATGGTGTTCAGAATGTTCAAAAATTAACACATCCGCCTCTGTTGCTCTGTTGATTTTTATGAGATTCTTACACGTTGTTTTTCAAGATAACCTGGCTAGCCCTTCTATCAAGGGAGGAAAACTTGTAAGGCAAGACAGCAGGGGTGGCTTTTGGGAAGAGTGAAGAGGTAGGTTGAGGCAGGGTGGAAGGAATTGAGGGGTGGTGAACTGAGAAGGTGGTTTTGGAAAAGAGGGTGAATCAGTGATGCTGTGTTAGCAAAACTACTGAAAATTACATATGGCATCTCAAGACACACACTGCTGTGGTCCAGTTGTGTGGAGAACAAACACCATGTAGGTGCCAGCAAGCTGGGGTTATGGTGTACAACATCCGAGTCTGTCCTGAAATGTTAATACTTCGAAGAGTTTTGTTTTCCAGGGGGACTGAGACTCTTTGGGGCTGTATTTGCTGCAAGTCTCAAGTGAGAGAGATGGTGGAATTGCAGGGAGATAACTGAGAAATGGAGTTTTGTTTTTCAGGCTGGCAGCCTCGATGGTTCCTTCTCTGTGGTGGCATCCTGTCCTATTATGACTCCCAGGAAGATGCCTGGAAGGGTTGTAAGGGAAGCATCCAAATGGCTGTTTGTGAAATTCAAGGTAACTAAGATACAGTAACACTTAGCTGCATGAAGTTTGTCCAATAATGTTGCATTCAAGATGAGATTTCAGGTGACAAGAGCTATTTGGCTGCTTCATTTCTCTGGTATGTATTTGCAATAGTTTGATGTTTATGTGGTTTTTATACAATAGTATTTTTAAAATGTTGAGAGAACTGCAAGCCTCTATTCTCATGGATATTCTATGTGCAGGTGGGTCACTGTTTTTCATGGGTTGTGGTGGAACATTGCACAGCTTCAAATGACTCCTCATAAGCACAGAGCTGAAGCTAGAAACATGTATAATAAACTTCAGTACTATGTCTGCTCAGTCATATTGCCACATTTTTGAGGTTCAGTTAACAGCTGGAAGCTTGAAAGAGAGGTTTTCCAGAAAAGGATGCCCTTTCCATAATGACTCTCAGATTATACTGGTCACAAAGCTGTCTTTCATAGCTGTACACACGTGCGTCCTGTCCATTCCCTAGCTCAGAAGAGAAGTCATAAAATGGCAGTGGGGGAAGTTGGGACCATAGATTCCTCCTCTTTCATTACTGTTTGACTTGCCACCTAACACATCTGTTGGAATATTTGGTTGGGCTGGGAAGAGCCAGGAGGCTGGTCTGAAATCTATGTTGCTTTCAGTTCATCCTGCAGATAACACACGAATGGACCTGATTATCCCAGGGGAGCAGTACTTCTATCTGAAGGCAAGAAATGCAGTTGAAAGGCAAAAGTGGCTGGTTGCCCTAGGAACTGCCAAAGCCTGTCTGACTGACAGCAGGACACAGAAGGAAAAAGGCAAGAACACCCTTTTGCTGGCACAGAATGTTTGTTTTCTGTTTCCCCATGCTTTCCTTAGTGCGTGTACATACATCTTCAGTGTCCAGCCTGTGGTTCAGGTCTTTGGTGCTGCTAAAAGCTAAGACATGTGGGAATATTAACTAGAAATCTCAGGTATTAATACTCAGGGCAGGGATTTGAAAACTTTGCTTTTTCCTTAAAATACACTATATAAAAATAATTTGAAAACCATGTGCTGATGGGTTCTGTAAGTACAGTGAGTAAATAGGCCCTGGCTAGAGGTCACTGTGATGCAGTACACAGTGTACAAGAATGTAAGACCCCCACCTTCTCCAGCTGTGTAAATATGATGACCCAGCCTCTCACACCAGTGTTTCTTCAGCTTTGGAGTTCCTCACATGCTTTCCTTACGTGTTCCAATTGGGCTGTCTTCTGCACTTTGAGAATGCCTCAGCAATTAAGAGGTTTGCACTGGGTTCCAAATCTATTAGTATTCAGATCCTTAAATCTGATCATGGTAAGGCTATGAAAATTAATTCACTTACCACTTTGCTTTCACCAGCAGTCTCACTTCCCCCTCCCCCAGTGAAAGCCCCTCTTGCTTACAAGTGTGGCATTAGTCACAGAACATTGTGAGGCCTTGTGCCTTCTTAACTTTGTATAACCTCAGCACAGTGACTATACAGAAGATGGAAAACCAGCAAATTATTAATGTCCTGGGCAAATGCAGGGGTGGTGAGCACTCCTTTCCCTGACATGAGGATTTGCTTCTCCTCTTAGCCTTATGTGTGTTATCACCAGGCTTTGCATCTGCTGGTTCAAGCTGAGTCAGAACTGAGCAGAAGATTCTACTGTAGAGTCCTTCACTAGGTGGGATTCTGATGTGCAGTGCTATGATTCAGGGACTCTAATATCAAAAACATTGCTTCTGAAAAATCTCAGAATGACTGTTAATCTTATCTGGATTAGTCTTCTCAGTTCTGCACTCTGTTTCTCAGTATAAGAAACATATGGACACACTGGAGTGAGTCCAGCAAAGGGCTGCTAAGATGATTAAAGGAAATATCTAGTGAGAGCATAAAAAAGATGAAGCCAGAGTCTTCACAGTGAATGAACAAGAGAAAATATGCATGAATTTTGATACAAACCACTCAGTTGAAACATAAGCAAAAATGTTTATGTTGTGAAGAGGAGGGAGCGCTGAAAGGCTGCACAGAAGAGGTTGTGTCGTCTCCATCCTTGGCATTGTTCAAAACCTGACTAGACCTGAGTAATTTGCTCTGACTGTCCTTGAACAGGGGAGTAGGACTAGCTGATATCCAAAGGTATCTTCTAACCTTACCCATCCTGTGATTCAAGGATATCTATATTAAATTAATCTCTTTCTGTTGGACAGAATGCATCTTTTCTAGGTGTTTTCTACTAGAACCCTATCTAAACAATGCTATTGCTTACACCTTAAATTACTTTGTGAAAACAAAGAATGTTATGTGTAGAGCTTTTGTCCTATTTAAAAGGCCTGCTAAGACCAAATGTTGTGTACTTGCCTTGCATTGGATACAGTAAATTTAACTTTTCTTTTGTTTAACTTTTAGAGTTCACTGAAAACACAGAAGCCTTGAAGACTAAAATGTCTGAACTCAGACTGTACTGTAACCTCCTTGTTCAGCAAGTGCATAAAACAAAGGAAGCCAGCATTTCTGGTGTGTCAGAACCAGAGGTACAGCTCTATTTTTGCTAGAGACCACATCTGTAAAGTCTTGGGCACATGAGCTTTCCTGGGTAGCCAATGTAGTATTCACTCAATTACTTAATGTTGCAGCCTCCATCTGCAGAGAGGTAAATAAAGTGCTCACAAAACAGTTCTTGTTTAAATGAAGTATTACTATATTGTTGCAAATGACTTGCCCTTTGTTGGGCTAGCAAGTAGTGAGATGATACCTGTGATCTAGGCAGTAACACCTCTGTAGGTGATCATGTGTTTACAGTGGATCAAAAAAAGCAAAAGATCTTTTATAAAAAGATAGTTTGCACAAAGCACACATTTTTCTGCCTGAGTCATTAATATCCTGCTCAGCAAAACACATCCAAAACCATTAAAAGGTCAAGAGATGTTGCAGACCACAAAAAAAGGGCAAAAGTGATATAAAGAACTGGCTTGGTTAGCCTCACTTAAGTTAAAGTTTCAAACCTTGGAAATCTTTCTGATCAAAGAAGCCTTATTTAAGAGGGATCTCCTAAAGGCAGTGATCAGCCCCTTGCTTTGAGAAAGAAATGTATGAAGATGCATTTCCCTTGCTAGAGAAGCTGGTGTGGAGTTGCAGAATGCCTCCCACTGGAGAGATGGGTCCTCAGGTGCAGAATGAGCAGGCAGAACAATTGAAGGCTGACCATTTGTATGCCCAAACCGTCTCTGTAAAGACACCTGGCAGACTGTTTAAGGTGAATTAAAAGAAATGAATTAGAAGCATGATGTGATGTACAAATGACTAAAAGGCACTGTTAGAACTTGCAGCTCACAGGTGTTGACCTATAATGTGGTGTTTATCCTGCTCATATTTCATGCATCTGGGGAAGGACTCTTTTCCTGATCTTACTGGCATTTAACTGCAAAGATTTATTGCTAAAAGCATTTCAGCAACAATAACTCACTTTGCAGAGATGAAGAGGCAATGTGATACCTCATTCTGCATTTTTGTCATTTGCAGTAATTTTTTGTTCATGGGGTTTTTGAAATTATTATCTGCAGATCATTCTGCATCTATTTAATTTACTTACTTTTCATATCTCCTGTCAGTGGTGTTTCCTGGAATGCCATTGTTGAATACATTCAGGCGTAGTATTTCATGCACTTTTAACACCAATAAGATAAGTAACTAAGAGGCATTGATTTCAAAACACAAGCATGCTAAGCTTCTTGTACTGAGAGGCTGACAAGAGTGGTAATACTGCAAGGGGACATAGCCACAGTAATATGTGATGCCAGCTCTGAGCAGCTAACACATTGAATTTTAATTCATGTTAACCAGAAATCACAACTGTAGCAGCTGTGGGCTTTGCAGACATTAGTCCAAATTGCTCATCTGTGGTGAGTCCATTTCTTCCAGTTGATTTCTTCCTGCAGAGTGAGATTGATATGGGAGCTCTGTTGAAATCAACTTGTGACACTTTCCTGAAGACTCTTGAAGAATGTATGCAGATTGCAAATACTGCCTTCACTTCTGAGTTATTGCATCAGACCCCACCTGGATCCCCAAATTTAGCAGTTCTCAGAACGAGCAAGGTAAAGGCCAGTATCTTCTTTTCTAAGCTTCAGCAGGGATGCTAATGGGTCCTTTTTTCAAAAGTAGCATTTGTAGAAGTAGGAAATGTCTTTTTACCCATATCATAGCTACTGGTCCCACACTGGACATGCTCTGCTATTTCTTGTGGTTTGCAAGTGAGGTAGGGCCATTTTTTTAATAAGCAGTGACCAATCTCTTAACTTTTAATGACAGGTGGAAGTTATTAAACATTAACTTTCAGGGCCTGAGAGTTACACACTGGTGTTTCACAGAAAGTAATGCAATGGTGTTTCAAAATACCTTGGCTTTACAGCAAGTTTGTCCATGTGGGAGCTCACAGCAATTATTGCTCTGTTAAACTACAGCAGTATTGGATGTGTGCTAATATGCCAGTGGGAGGTGATGAGTAGCTTTTTAATGAGAAGGGCACTTTCTTGAATCATGGATCCATAACTACATGTGGAAAACTGGAGCATCTCTGGCAAGCAGAAAGATCTATGTAGGAAGGTGGATGCATGACTGCATCTGAGAAATGGGATTGCTTCACCATACCTAATGTCTAGCCTCATGTTTCTTCTTTTTTTTCAAAACTTTTTTTTATTAAGTGAAGAACACATTGCAAAGGAAACTTACTGCTTTATCTCCATATGCTGTGTGGTGGCTCACTTGACACTTGCTAACTAGCTTCTGAAAGAAATCTTCTGATTTTATTTCTTCTTTTTCTTTTTTTTCTTTACAATATTGTAATGGTGTAATAATATAGCACCATTTTCACATTTGTCTGTGTACTGCGTCCAGGTCAGAGAATTAGGGAGGGTTTTTTTGCTGACTCAACTTGTGTTTAAAAAAATGTGAAATTTGAGAAGCATGATACAGTCTTACTTGCTTTAAACAATATTCTCCCCCCTCCATATCTTGCAGGTAAAGCACTCTATCTTGTCCAGTCACGCCTCAACAGAAAGGTATAACAGAAGTCTTTACTGTCAATCTCTTTCTAATCTGTGTTTGGTTGTTTTTTCCCTACTGCTACTCTGCTCTTACTGGATGCAGGCAGAACTGTATCACTCTGAGCTGCCTTCTTGGAAGCAGATGGAATGAAAGGGCTCTGGCTTATCCCATTTCATGTCTCTTCTGTATCAGTCCTTTCCCTTTCATTTTTCTCTGCAGTCCACTTGGTGTCGTACTGCTCAATCACCAGCCAGCTCTCTCCCACTTCAGTGCTCCTTCCTGCATTTTAGGTTCCACTCCATAAGCCCATAAAAATCATTGATGGTGAGCAGACTGACTCCTGAAGTAGGTGGCAAGGATGTGTATTTCAAAGTACTAATGGGGGGATATTGTAGAAGTTACAGTACCTGCCTGCAATTTTCTTTTCTGTAATTGTATTTTTTTGATTATGTACCTTTTTAATAAAGATCACTGTAAATATACTTGAACTCTGAAAGCTGAGGTTGAGTCTTTAATCCTCTTTGCTGCAAAAAGCTGCCTCATTCTTGTTATTATTTTAGGCAAGTTCTCTGCTCAGAGCAGCATGTGACAGCCTATAACTTCTGTCAACTATTTTGCTCTTGTTGTTTGTGTGTTCACAGGAAGAAGCTTACTAAGCAATGCTTTATGCATTAAATATTATTCTTTCCCTTTCTTCAGACAGGTGGAATTGAGCCCCTGTGAAAATGGCTGTGTAAAAGCAGAAATTAACCATCAAGAGCAAACAGTTATTAAAAGTATGGAATGTTTAAACTTGGAAACGAATGAGGGGACTGGTGATGTTTATGTTGAAGATCATGTAGCAAAGGATTTGGCAGGTATGTATATGCACACTCTTCTGTCCAGGATGATTGATTTTTCTGTAGGTGTAAATTAAGGAAGGTGTAGGCACCTTGTGAGATTCCTGACTCCCAGGAGAGGGAATATCAGTTTTTTAGTCTGATACTGCCCCTTGCAAGTTTTCTCAGCATGGCTTCTGCTGCCTTTGTTGATGGCTAACTTGGGACTGAATGGAGAAGGAAATTAAAAATTTGTTTTTGGACAAGTTGGGGCCCTCCAGGTGCAGATTGACGTGTGTAACAAAACAAGCTGGCAGAGCTTGGACTCTCTGTACACTGTGGGCAGGCACATTATTCCCTGCTAGTATGTGGAAGCTTTGTGTGCCTAAGGGCTTGAACTTTTAGTCACTCTTGATTGCTCTGACAAATGTTTACAGAAAATTAACCCTTTTTCTGCAACTAAGAGTATCCTAGAAAGCATCTTATTTCTTCCTTTATCATAGCAATAGTGTGAACTTAGATTTGTATGTGACTTCAGTGAAATAGTGTTGAACTAATTCAGTATAAAATTCCTTCCAGTGTGGTTATATTGTTAAGGGCTGCTAAACTTAATTTGGATAACTATTCATGTAACATGATTTTTGCACATCCTGTAGAATGGACTGTACCATTCTTGAACAGTGGCTGTCTCTGCCTGGCTGTTATTCCAAAACATAAATATGCAGTCAGTGACAAATGTTCCAAAACATAATATGCAGCAGAAGCTTTTAAGTCCAAGTTAATGATGATAGTGATTTTGCCCTTATGGGTTCCATTTGGAGTTTTTCCCATTTTTGGGGTTGGTACTATGTAATGTGGCACATCCTTGCAGAATAACACACACAGGACACCATTTAGCATAGTATCAATAAAACAGCACTAAAGCAAAGACATCAAACTAATTCAAGGTGTTGGTGTCAGTTAGCTATTGTGGTTCCTGTGCACAAAAGAGAAAAGGCTACCCCCTGTTGGGTACACATGTTTGAGCTGCAGAGTTTTGTTGTCAATATGGGGTGGAGTTGGGATGTGCAGGGCCATCCATAGAGGGTGGGCTGACACAGCCAGCCCATGGGCTTTGTCTCGCTGATGGCTGTATCTGGGTGCTCCCCCTGACCCCAAGAGCTCTGCCCTGTCTCAGATACTTTTCCTTCCCTTTCCCCTTTCTTAAGAAGTCAGTCTTTAAAAGTGCTTGTGCACTAAAGTCCCATAGCAAATTTCTCTGTCTTTAAGGGCTTACAGTGTTTGAGTTTGAAAACAATTGAGTTTGAATTTCAGAGCACCCAAGGTTTTGCATAGAACTCCTGCAGGGTCACTGCAGACTTGGGCTGTTTTTCTACTCCCCAGCCTATGTGGCTTGGTGCAGGACAGATCAGTGGCATCACTCAAACCTCTGTCATTCTTCGGCAGAGACACTTTGCTTGTGAATGTCAGTGGTGTCTGAGGCCATTTTTATTCTGCCTTGAAGAGACTTGCTGGTCTGGTGTGAGGGGATTTCTTTTCACCCAGCACCAGGTTTGTTCAGTGGTTCTGCAACTAATAGGGACAGCTGTAAGCCTGCTTTCAGTTGTCGCTTGGAGGAAGAGAGTTCCTTGCAGCTTGATCCTTTCAGCCAGAAGCTCAATTCCACTTCAGGTTTCTCTCTGATCCTCACTGACACTTGAAAGTATTCCTTTCCTGGAAAGACAGGTTCCCTGGGAAATCCTGGATGTTAGTTTGGCAGTCTGGCAGCAAGATGTGCTGTAGCTGTAGCTTGTATGATGCAGATGCTGTGAATCATTTTTGCTTCTTTACTCATTCTCTGAAGTTCTCCATGAGGTCAGAGGGTCTTACCACGTATGGGATGTATATGAAAGATTTTGTCTTTCCTTTGTCTTCCTTGTGCTGTATGTGAAACAGATGCACTTGGCCCCAAAGAGGAAATAAAATAGACCACAGTGGGGAAGATGTACCTGGACCTTTTCTGGGAAACTTTAGAGATATTTATAGAAATCACATAGAACATAGCAGCCTTTGATAACATACAAGTGTCCATCTAAGCAGCCAGTTTGCTTACCTATCAGAAGGAGTAAACATGTTGCTATTATTCTTTTACTTTTGAAAATGCTCTGTGGCACTTCAACAATAGTGGGAAAGTTACAGCCATGTGAGAAGTAATCTTCCTTTCAAGGAGATGAGTCAGCTCCCTGCTGTACCAAATTGCTTCTTCAATGCTATTCTTTCTCACAAGACTGTTCTTGCTGATGTTGTGTGGGCTCACCTGTATTGTAGCCTGGTCTTTGGTCTGTCTGATTAAAAGAAATGGGGGGTGACTGATTGAAATGTGGTCTGAGCACCTACCAAACCTGCAGTGAGAGTAGTGGTGCTGGCAGGGATGCTTTTAAACTTGCATTATCCACATATCCAAGTGCCTTCCTTCAAATAGAAAGGCATATTGATGAAAAGGAATAACAATATGTGTATGCAACTTTTTTCTTTTTTTTGTTTTTCTTTTGTTTCCTGTAAATGTTAGGCATTAAAGACGATGGAGAGGACAAGTTGCAAGCTGTAGAAAGCTGTGGTGCCCACAAGTTGCTGCAGTCAGAAACAAATTCTTTAGGTGGATTGATTTTGTGTGAGGAAGAAGGAAATGAAAAGGATTCTCCTACCTTCTTCAGTGTCATGAGCAATAGGTAGTACAGATTTCAATTAAAAGGATTATTGCAACTTAATGTTAAGCCTTTAATTGACTTATTTTTAATTCATTTCTGTCTGTAAAGCTGTTTTTACTGAGATGATTTAACAAGACTACCGACAGCACAGTAATTGGAAGAAGATATCTTTTGTGAAATTAGCTGTACAGAGTGAAGTGGGAGGTTTTTCCTTGTTTGTGATTGCAGGCCTTGCTTGCACACCACCCAATGTGTGTTCTCTGCAGTCAGTTACTTTAACACAGTAAAACAAAAGCCATGTTGGAGGTTTCATGTCTATAAATTTTACCTCTATGCAAATGACTTGGACAGGAAATCTAGTTTTGCTTTTCAAGTTACATAAAAAGAATTGTTAAGGTAACAATATTTTCTGCTTGTCCTGGACACCAGGTTCAGTGATATTGAGCTTCGGGAGGAGGAGGGCATACCAACAGAGGAGTTCCTGGAGTCGTGTTATGCAATTGTGCCTGTTCTGGGTAAGCAGCTTCTTTTCTTCTGACTCCTTCTGACTGCTGCTGGCAGCAAGCAAAGGTGGAGCAGTTGGGTTGGAAAACTTGTTTCTTCACTAAAGTGATATAGTAGAACCAGTATCGGCAGATTCAGTTTGACTGATTCTGAGAACATGTTTCTTACCCCCTTGCTTTAAAGAGGATCCACTCTCATTTAGATGGGACCCATATATAAGCTGTTTGGCAATCTAGGTGTTTGTATGGAACAGCAATTTCTCCCCCTCAAAAAAGCAGCATAGGTGCCTTACAGTGTATTACAGCTGATAGGACACCATCAGCTGTACTGTATTGATTTTTCCAAAGACTTTGATCTTCACCTAGCACAGCCCCCTACCAGCTTGACCCCTGCATGTACTGGATGCGGTGGCCCTGTGAGCATGCAGCCTTTTGAAGATTTCTGAACTGTAGGTCAGAATATTTTAACACTTGTAGCAACTGGGATGGATTGGTTCTATACCAGAGAAAAATATCACTTTGTCATTCATTTACTATTTTCCTGCCATTTAGAAAGATTGTTAAATGAGTAAATTAAATTAATTTTTACTAAAACATGAGAACTGGAAAAAGACACAATTTTAAAGTACTGTGCGCTTTTTTTTCCCCTAGATAAGCTGGGACCAACTGTTTTTGCTCCAGTTAAAATGGATTTTGTAGGCAACATCAAGGTAACAATTTATTTCTAGCACTGATTTTCAGTTTTTAAACAGAATATCTACTTTAGACACTAGAGCTCAAGAATATTTGTGGTAGGAGTCAATATTAGGAATTAAATATTATTTAATATTTGATAATGTTGCCATCTGTCAGACTAAAGCACTGAAATGCCCCTAATTCTGTTCTGACAGTACATGCTCTGTTTAATAAATCCAGTTGTGGGAAAACTTATAAAATACTTGATTGACTGCCAAGTAAAACATCTGTTACACCTAGTGAATATGACTGATTCTGAACTGTATAGGTTATAAGTCATGATGTGATGTTAGCAATGTTAACTTTAACCTGTAAAACAAATGGAGGGGGTGGGGGAAAAACTTTGCTCAGTCACGTAGGAGGAATTTAATACTTTAAGAAGCAGTTTCTTAGCAGACTGGGGCAGACCATGCAGGCTTGGTTCTTCTTCTGGAAACTCTTCCAGCTTCAAGTACCTTCTGAACAGCCTTCAAGAACCTTTGAAATACTGGTTATGAGACAAAATGTGTTCATAATGAGACTTTTCATAGCATTTTCTTTCAAGAGAAAAAAACAACAATAAAAGCAAAACATATCTTCTGGGTGTATACTAAGGAATATTGTATACAATCAGATTTGTTTGGATGCTTATCTTATAGAAGGTAGCCACTGGAAGACTGAAAATAGCAAGAGAAAATAATGCTATTTAAAAACCTAAAACAGAATATTTATTGGCAAGTGATAGACAGTTACTCCTTTAATGTAGAAGAAAAATCTGTTTGTCTGCCCCTTATATATTGTCTCTTTTGTTTGTGTGAGGAGTTGTGTATAGAAACTTGGGAATAAATTGAAACCATAGGCATGCTGAGCACTGCTAAGTGTAATATTGAGAGTTTGCAGTGGTCAGAAGGTAAATTTTGCTTGTAGTTGAAGCTCTGGGAAAATGGGACTTGCTTGAAGAGCAGTTTGAATTAACTCCTTTCCTCCAGTGGGGAGGATGTCATGGGAACCTCAAGCATTTTGTTGGACAGCAGTGGTAGGTCCCATGTAAATTTTTGGCTGAGATGTTTTGTTTTGGTTGTGTCAGCCAGATGTGTCTGGGGTGTGCCCTGGAATGGCATGCCCATGTCAGAGCAGCCATGCCATGGGAAGTAGTAGGTGACATCCTTGGGAATCTGTAGTATCTCTTAGCAGGGAAGAGTCCTGTTAAATGGGTGGTGTATTTGTAGGCCCCTGTTGGGTCTTAAAAGTCATAAAGCTTTGCCCATTCTATTCTTTCCAGAAAATAAACCAGAAATTTATAACCAACAAAGAAGAGTTTGATACCCTTCAGAAGATTGTGCTCCATGAAGTGAACGCAGGTGTAGCACAAGTTAGAAACTCTGCTACAGAGGCTCTCCTGTGGCTGAAAAGGTAATGGCTTTCTTTCTGCCTTCACTGTGAGCTGCTGGGGCCTTTCACCAGTGCAGACTTGTGTACATGGAGCAGGCTGGTTACTTCCCACAGGCTCCATCAATCCAAACTTCTTCAAGAAGTCAGCCTCAAAATTAATGCTGTCTGTGGTTGTACCACTGCAATTTTGCTGAAAGCTTGAAAAAAACATGGCAGGCGAACTTTTTTCCTGTAAAAGTGAAGTTACAGTGAATGACTGACTGATCCTACTTGGCTAGGGCATCAAGCAGATGATTTCAAGCTGCAGCAGAAATGTTTAGCAAAGTGGTTTTCCCTTTTACTGGGAGAGAGGCTGGAGGAGGTGGCTGCGATTTTGTTCAGATTGGAATTGTCTCCTTAATTCTGAGTTTTATTGCACTTCGGGGTTGTATTCCAACTTTGGGGGCTTTGTTATACTTTGGGTTGCTTTCTTATAAATATGGTTTCCTTTTATTTCATGTGCTCATCCTGGCAGAGGTTTAAAGTTCTTGAAAGGGTTTTTGACGGAAGTGAAGAATGGGGAAAAGAATATCCAAACAGCTCTGAGTAAGTACCAATTGCTTTGTTCCTAATGTGCTTCTAAATTTACATACTTGGCTACTTTCCTTCTTGTTTAGAGCTGTGTCTTCTTCAGTGACTGATGAGGCAAGTGATTTCTAAGACATAATAATTTTGAAAACTTGAATTTTTTTAAATGGCTGCCTTGAGATGGGTTACTAGATAACTGGTTGTCCTTTGATAAACATTGATAAATGTTGATTCATTAGCAAATAGATTCCTTTAATTGGCATACTTTTGGCAGAGGAGACAGTCATATCTTAGGGAGACAAGTGCTTTGACTCATTCAAATTTCTCTACTGGCTTGTAGTGGGAGCACTCCCAAATGTATAATTGCTGTTTTGTTAGTTTTCTAATTCCTCGTGTGATTTGCCATCATTCTTTGAAATCACCTTTTTTTCAATATAGCTGTGAATTGCCTGCATCAATTAGAAGGGATGTTGTCACAGAGAAAAAGGATTTTTTCCAAGTACACCATTTCTGACACTTTCTTTGTCAGGCTACTGGCCACAGCAAGTACAACAACCCCCGTTAAACTTGACTTGGTTACTCCTGGACAAGACCCTCTCTATATGCATGCAGTATAATGTTGTAATAATCCTTTAAACCAACTTTGAAACAGCTTTTTTTTTAAAGCTTTTTATTTTATCCTCTTTTACACAGCACAGCAGTTGCCTTATAGGATTAGTAAAAAGAACTACTACACTGAAGTATGTAGCAGCTCTTGGAAGTGAGGCTGTGTATACATTGCTACCAGATATGGGTGTTAAACACCATAGAAAGTGTTTAGGCATCTATTTGAGCTTCTGAGTCTGGAGGCTTCAGCCTGAACTACTCCTTGAATTGCTCTGTGTCTGCAGCAGAGTCATGCTGCTGGTTTTTTCTACTTTTTCATTCCCTTTCTTCCCGTGAAAAGCTCTTCTATATCTGTATCACCACTGCAGCTTTGGTTTACTGTTCGAGTTTCACTCCATACAGTATTTTCTTAGACTTTGCATTAGCCTTCCTGTCTGTTAGAGCACTTACTTTCTGTGGATGAGTTGAAGGAGTTTTGACAGTGGAGCTGAGACTCCAGTGCAGAAATCCCAAATCTGTCATCTCCTTTCAGTCATAACTTAAGAACTCAGAAACAGCCATCATTTACGTTGAGTGGCAAGAGTATACCCTCGAGTAGTAATTTCTAAACTCCAAGTTCTCTTTGTGATGCGAACTTAAAACTGCCACACATCTATCTCTTGATTTTTTTTTTTTTCCTTTTAAGACAATGCTTATGGAAAGACATTAAGGCAGCACCATGGTTGGGTTGTCCGCGGGGTCTTTGCAGTAAGTATTTATCTTGGCTGCTGATAGAGCTGGGGGTCTTGTTCATGTGATGTTATGTTGTGTGTAATTCATAAACTGTGTTAAAATTCTGAGTATTAAAATTAATAGATTCTTTTCCCAGACCTTACTTTCAAAGTGAAGATTGTGGTTTTCACTATGTTTAGTACTGGACTTGCAGGGTGGAGCCTGCTTTCTAGAGATGAAACAGACAGATTGCACTTGCATGCACAATTTTTTAATTCTGTGCTTTTGAGCAGTCTTGAAGGGCTATTAAATGAAGAAGAGAGGATTTGAGGTTGCTTTTTTGAAGATTGATCTCTCTTTGAATATGATGAGCATTCACACAGTGTGTGTGGGGAATTGAGGTAGAATATATTGGCTAGGAGAAATTTTTCGTTCGGTCTGGCAGCTCCCCCTTGTGTCTGTCACTGGAAAATTATCACTGCAATTACAAAAGGAAAAAAGAAAACCTCATCTAGGCAGTCATGACTTTGAGAGAAGCAGAATTGTTGGAGAGAGCTTTCTAAAAGAGCATGTTGAGAATTTGGTGATGGTGTGTAACACTGGGTTGGGAGCTCCCCTAACAAACTACTTTATTTGAGGTTTGTATTTAATTAATTTCTATGTGCTCAATTTATTTATGCAAAATATGATACACTGACACTTTCTAAAAGTTAGGCGTTCTGAAGATATCTTAAAATGAGGATCTACACAAAAAGAATAAAAAAGAAAAGTTAGCCTCCCTTCTAGTTAAAGTTCTCACTATATGCATGTACACATGATTAAATTGAAGCTATGCAGTCTAAGTGCAAAGAGGAAAGTCTTAGAAGTTTTTCATGGCTTTAGGTATTTATTTCTCCATTCTGTGTTGCAAATCTAAAAGCTTTGTTTCTTCTCCCAGTTAGCTTTAAGGGCAGCTCCAACGTATGAAGATTTTGTGGCAGCTCTGTCTGTAGATGAGTGCGATCCTCAGGAAGAAACATTTTACAAAGGGATGCAGAGGGACCTCAACATTTACTTACCAGCCATGGAAAAGCAGCTAAATATCTTGGACACTCTTTATGAAGTACATGGTTTGGAGTCAGATGAGGTGGTATGACTACAGCAAGATCACATCTTAAAAATTCAGGGACTGTGTCTGTTAACAAAGATTTCTTCCATTTTGGTTTTGGGACATTGTTTCTGTTCATTGTGTCTTTTCCGGTGGGATGGGTGTTGAGTGTTTTGGGGGAAGGGTATGTGTGATTTTTATCTTTTCATTACGCTTGTGTTGCATTTAAATGCAGAGGTACTGTCTTTCTCTGGATCATAACTATGTCCATGATGAATGTTTTTGACTGTTTCTCTTCTGCCTGTGCACCTCATCTTCACCTCATAAAAGTAACAGAGCAGAATCTGGCCTTTGCTGCCGTACCTGAGGAGAGACCTGCTCATGCAGCAGAACTGTTGGGTGACCAACATGGCACCCAGGCAGGTGCTGCTGCCTCTGACTCTCCCATTCCCTGTGCCCACTCCCTGCCATAATGTAGGAGGATAGTGAGAGTTATTGTTATCCCAGCGGCAGAAGAGAAGGACAGCTAAACACCACCTTGTAATGTGGTGAATTTGTCCCTCAATTTGGGTTGAAGCTCTTTAATGCAAATAATATATTTGCATGACATAAGTATTTATTAAATTAAATAAACATTTTAATCCAAATATTACAGAGATCTTCACCACAGGTGTATGTGGCTGGTGGTCTGAGTGGCCCCAAGGTCTAGCCTTTGAAACAGGATGTCGTGTTTCCTGACCAGCTCCCAGTACATGCTATGGCTTCCCTGCCAGCTCCTGCTAGTGGGCCACAAATTTGCAGGCACAGACTCAGCCCAGCAAATTTCAACAGTACTTTACACAAGCATTTGAAGATCACATCCATCATCCTGGCTTATTAAGGTTTAGGAGGGTTTTTCTGGTTTAGGTTTTTGGGTTTTCTTCAATCAAATTCATGCAAAACTGTAATGGTTGCTTTTAAGTTGAGTACAGCTAGCAGTTTGAAAAGCAGATATCATTAAAATCCTTTGTAGACTGTCATTATGGGCAGAAACTTCATGAAAGTGGACATGAAATGAGTAAAGTATAGGGGAAGCTGAAATTTATGATGGAGCTATTAAACATGGGACCAATTACAAGTCTAGAATTTTGAAATTATTTAGAAGTGACTAGAAATTAAGAAATATTTCCCCTGTTTCCCATTTTGCTGACACAGATAAAAACATGTTCCTTAGCATTGCTGCTATTAAAAATAATGAAGAAGTTCTTTTAGTTAGTGATATGGTTAGGGACAAAATTCCTAGTTGTGTTGATGACCAACCAAAAGGCTGTCTGTGAATTACTGACTCCAGTTCAAGGCATAAGCAGGTCTCTCTGTGTAGACCTAGGGCTTCAGATGGCTTAGTACAAAGAGCTAAGTTTAACTCATCTGCAGGAGGGGAGAAGACTGTGCTAGTGAAGTACTTAGAATTAGTAAGTTTTCATAAATACAGAAGGCAGTGTTGCCAAACTCACAGAAGTAGTGCTGGCTTTTGCTAGGCTAAAACCAGTGTTGTTAGTAACATGAATGTACTGCAGACCTACTGCCCTGCATTGCTCTGTGACAGGAGCCTCTGCACACTGAATACTTGATCCTTTCTTAAGAGCCTAGCATGGTGAGCTTTAAGAAAAGCATATGATACTTGAAGAAAATGCCAACATCAAACTTACTGTATAAAGAAAGATACCAGGGCTCTAATTAGATGCTCATAGAGTCATAGAATATGTTGTGTTGGAAGAGACCCAAGGGATCAGGACCATCAAGCCCAACTCCTGGCCCTGCACAGGACAGCCCAAGAATCCCACCATGTGCCTGAGAGCATTGTCCAAAAGCTACTTGAACTCAGATGGGCTTGGTGCTGTAACCATTTCCCTGGGGACCCTGTTCCCATGTCCCATCACCCTCTGTGTAAAAAACTTATCTGGTACCCAACCTAAACCTCCCCTGACTCAGCTTCATGTAATTTCCTTGAATCCTGTCACTGGTCACGAGAGTGAAGAGATCAATGTCTGTTCCTCTGCTTTTTTGTGAGGATGTTGAAGACCATAATGAGGTCTCCCCTCAGTCTCCTCTTCTCCAGGCTGAACAGACCAAGTGACCTCCTCATAAGGCTTCCCCTCCAGACCCCTCACCATCCTCGTGGCCCTCCTTTGGACACTCTCTAATAGTTTAACATCTTTTTCATGTTGTGGTGCCCAAAACTGCCCCCAGCACTCAAGGTGAGGCTGCCCCAGAGCAGAACAGGACAGTCCCCTCCCTTGCTTGGCTGGCGATGCTGTGCCTGATGCCCCCCAGGACAGGGTTGGCCCTCTTGGCTGCCAGGGCACTGCTGACTCATGTTCAACTTGCCATCAACCAGGATGCCCTGAGATCTCTGCAGTGCTGCTCTCCAGCATCTCATTCCTGTCTATGCACTCAACCAGGACTGTCCTGTCCCAGGTGCAGAATCTGGCGCCTGTCCTTGCTAAACTTCATGCATCTGGTGATTGCCTGTCTCTAGTTTGTCAGGGTCTCTCTTCAGGGCCTTCCTGCCTCAAGGGAATCCCAGTCTAGCTCCTCCCAATTTGGTGGTGTTAGCAGACTTACTTAGTAACCCTTCCAGTCCCATGTCCAAGTCATTTATGAAGATGTTGGAAAGCACAGGGCCAAGGATGGAGCCATGTGGAACCCCACTAGGGACAGGACACCATCCTGATGAGTCACTACAACCCTTCGTGCCTAGCCCATGAGCCAGTTGCTCACTGATCATGTAACATGGTTATTGAGCTGTGTGCTGGACATCTTGTCCATCTTGTGAGAGACAGTGCTGAAAGCTTTGCTGGAGTCCAAAAAGATTGCATCAGCTGGCTTTCCTAGATCCAACTAAGTGGGTTCCCCTGTCATAGAAGGAAATCAGTTTTGACAAGCAGGACCTGCCTCTCATGAAGCTGTGCTGGCTGTGACCAATGACTGTGTTCCCTTTCAGGTGTTTTTCAGTACCTCCCAGAATAATCATTTCCATGATTTTACCTGGCACTGAAGTGAGATTGATAGGCCTGTAATTTCCAGGGTCCTTCTTCTTCCCCTACTTGAAAATGAGGACAATGCTTGCCAGCACCCAGTTAGCTGGGACCTCTCCAGATTCCCAAGAGACTGTTTAAATAGTGTGACTTCTTGCTCTGTCATCTTCTCTGAGTTTTACATATGTGTAGTTCCTAGGTACTCAAGAGGGATCAGAAAGAATAAGGTTTTAGTTTTGTGCATTTTATTAAATCAAGTAGTATATGTGTGAGTACAAAGTCAAAACTTTTGACCAAAGCTCTATTCAATTATTTCACTACGCACTAAAACTGAATTGTTAAAATTGAAGCTTCAATTCAGTGTCTGCTGCTTCTAAGCATGAATCCAAAGAAACCACCCTGTGGGAGAACAACCAACTTTACAACCTGTGTGGTTTCCTCACGGTCTTTTGGCTGTTCTTTGGGAAACTTCACTGTAGCAGTTTTTAGTGGAATGATCTGGAAAGATAATGGAGACCACATTTCCACAAAATATCAGCTAGGTTATGAGAAGACCAGGAAGAGATCCCTCTTTTCTAGAAATTAACCATCAGATCACGAAAAAAATTGAATTCTTTTTTGCTCTAAGTTTTTCCAGTAGTAGGAAAATATATTCAGCTCAGAGTATTTAGAGGTATTTTTGGGGTTTCTGTTTTGTTTTGGTTTGTTTTTTAACTAGCAGGAGAACCACTAGTTTGTTGGGTGTGCGTCAGATGCAAAAATTGTTTCAAAAAGACAGGAGGAGGCTTTATTTTGTAGGCAAAGAACAGCTTCGTTGGGCCACTAGCTCCAGTTACTACCATTCTTCTGTTGTCCAGCAAGCAGGGAGAGGGATCCACATTACCTATTCTCTAATCAGCATGGCATCCTGCCTCAGAGCAGGCTTTCTCATCTTGCTCTTCTGTGTAAAGTTGTTTTTTCTGAACTCTGGAATTGGTGCTTGAGAACGTTTTTAGGAGACCCCTCTATACTTGTTGTTAAACAGGGCCCTTGCAGAGAAGGAATTGAGCAAGGTCTCCCTGCCTTCAAAACTTGCACTTCACCATGCACTGCTCTTGCAGGGTGTTGAGCACTTCTCAGACTTCTGAATGCTATCTTTGCAGTCAAACCACCGCTGAGAAAGAAACCCATATGCAGCATGTTGCAGAGCTGAACTCCAAGTTACCACTCTCAGGATGTAGTAGACCAGATAACCAAGTGGAGGCAAATGCACTGACAGACAACTCACTGTCTTCTTTTGTGGTGTCAGTTTGGCAAGCAAAAAGGATGGCATTTCATTAGAATAATTGTAAAGAATAAGCAACTAATTTTTTGCCTTCATATTTAGAATTGGAGAGAAGGTCGGTGTTTTCTGCTTCATTTGTTTGGTTTGTTGATTAGTTAGGGTTGTTTTCTTTGTTTTTGTTTTTTTTTTTAATGGCTGACATTTATGAACAACTGACCTACACACTGATAGAGATCCACATGACTCAGATAACAGGTAACCCTGGCTCTGTATACTTTACATGGACTGCTTTGGTTTCTTAAGTTATGCTAGTCTGAAGTTTTGCATCCCTTTCCTTTAGAAATGCTTTTGGCTGTTTCCTTCAATGTCTAGCAGTTGCATATTCTCAGGGATTTTACTTACCCAAGGCTAAATAAGAGTAATCACAGCCTTACCCCAGGGGGGAGTAGGGCTGCTTTTTGTGAAGTTAGTATAGCTGAGCATAGAACTCTGATACAGCAGTGTCCATACAGTGTGCATCCTTGCTGAGACATGGTAAATCCCAAAGCAATCTGATAGAAGTGCTATCTAGTACTGGATAATTGCAGTCAGCATATTTCAATAGAGATCATGAACACATCTTTGTTATGTAATGTCATTGGCATTAGAGCAGAGCTCTCAATTTCAGTCAAGTTCTGCTTAGTAATCGGACACTTTTATTTATTTTATTTATTTTGTGGTTTGTTTGTTTTTTAAACAAGCTATGTTCTGGAGTCCCCTCTACTATTTAAAGACACCATACTCAGTTTCATATTGAAGTTCTGTAACATTTCAGTTGTAGAATATGACTACTGCATACTCAAGTGCTTTAGTGTAAACATAATGAGTCCAACATCCCTGTTTGACACTGTTGTGCTGTGGATCTCCCTTTAACAGATGCATTTTTGCAAGTTAAGGGCCATGTACCTTCACTTACAAGCTCTTTGTAAAACATCATCAGAATTTAAGTTACAGCTGTTTGCTTTTAAAATCTTTCCTAGTTTGAAAAGTGTTGTTTGGTTGGTTTGACATGTAAAAAGTATGCCCAAAATCTGCCCCAGGTGACTGCAGCCTGCTTTGGGAAAGGGGTGTGGGCCATTATAGAAAAAAGTACTATGTATATCCATATGCTGGACCTTCTAACCCTTTCTTTTTTCATTGTCACTTCAGCTTTTGTGAAAACCTTTAGGGAAGCTTAAACTGCCTTTCAGACACCAGGAAAGATCATTAGCATGTTCCTACCTGGCTGTCTTGACCTTTCTTCCCAGCTGGTCCTTCTTTTCCTTTTCCATTGTCATCTGCTTTGCTATCGAAGCTGTTGCTGTCAGAACAAACCAGGATGATTTGTAAGGCATGCAAATATAAACTTGGATATTCAGATGTGAATTCTTTGGCAGGCAATGTAAATTGGGAAATTTAAGACTTGGGTGTTGTGCCTCACAGGAATGAAAGCGTAAGACTTTTTGGTTCTGTTGTTTTATTTTGTTGTTTTAGTTTACTTATTTCTCTTCTCTTGCCTACGTAGTGCAGAAAACAAAAAACAAAAACCCAAACAAACAAAAAAAAACCTAAAACAAAAGCAGTGTGGAAAAAACTGAATTCGTGCCTCGTTGTTCTGTAGCCCCCTGGTGAACAAACCCTACTAACTTCTTCTTACTCCAAGCAATATAAAACCTCCTTCATGCAGGAGGGGTGTCATAGTGCACTTAACTGTCTCTGAGCAAACCCAGGCCATAGCTGACCCTGCTCACAGTTGACACAAGGATTTAAGCACTTGCTTTGAAGTTATGACATAGGCGTATGCTTCACTCACACACACGTGCACCATCCCACTGGCATGCAGTTCTTCAAAATGCAGTCTTGGATTGTCATTTTTAATACCCCTTTCTTGGTGTAAGATTTCTCCCCCACATACTTCAAATGTGCTAAAGCTGGATTTTTTTAAGTATGAAACTTCCTTGTTTTCATTTCCTTATTTCTGCTTAACACTAAGTATGTCAACTTTCTTTTGCATTTCAACATTCAAGGGGTCCAAAAGTTATTTATTCCTTTATTTAAAGTCATGTTGAAAGTTTGAGATTTATGTCTACTTGAAACTGAGTAAATTGCATTCCAGAATACAATAATTAAACTGAAAACCTAGGCAGCTTGCTTTTATGGTTTCTTTTCCTATTTTTTAATTTTTTTTTTTTAAAGCCAGTTTTGGGCATACATTTTTATCAATGTCAAGCTAAGCTTAATGTAAGCCTTACTTTCCATACTCAAATATATACATACCAAAATACATTTAAAGATTAAAAGAAGGTATATTGCCTCACACTTTAAATTTATTGAATTCTAAGGGCTTGTTCACGCCCCCCAAATCACCTTTCTCAGTGTAAGCTTTGCACAGATTGTGCTGTCATAAGCAGTTCAGTCTGAAATACTCTGGTTTCCAGTCTGCATCATCTCTCAAATCATACAGCGTCTGTCTCTTCTTTTGGAGCATTGTTAAGACTTTGACAAACTTTTATAGTATTTCATTATAATAAACTTATTTTAAATAAGCATGCTTTAAAATCTCATTTTCTCCTTGCATGGATTTGGTTCTTTTATTACAGTATAGGGCCTAAGGTGCTCTTCAGGACTCCATTTGTTATGAGTACTGTGTGAACAGTCAAAAACAGTACGTTTCTGGTTGACAGAAACTGCCTGTATGTATCTTTGTATGAAGAATGTTAACACACATAAAGCCTGTTTAGACTGCAAGAATAAAAGCTGTATCTGGCACATGGTTCTGGGTCCTTGGCCACAGTGTAAAT